TTTCACTTTATATTTTTAAAAAGATTTATTTCTGATAGGTTTTCACATGCCCCCCCCCCTCACAATGAGCTAAATCAAAGGACCTAGATGGATAATAGCATTCAAAAAATCATTTTCTTCGGCTTTATTTGATGTCCTTGTCAGATATTTCTTGTAAATGAAGTATGATTCTCTCCAAACTGACCCGAGGGCCTGGATAGAAAAACATTTTATTTATGTTTCTTAATGTACACCACTCACACATATTACTTACTCAAAACAAACATAACTTTATAGTTTATAGCTATAAATTTTACTATGCCACATATTCCATTTCTTAAAAAAAAATATTTACAAAAATATCACAAATACAAAATCGCCCATAAATTGTTTATTATACTATTGATGTATATACTTATTCTAATTGAGACACAAAATGAAATATACACTATATATATTTTCGCATAAATAAAATATCCACTATTTTTATTAACTTGAGCTACTATATATTTTTATTTCAACAATTCTTAGCCCTAACCATAATAGCATATCAAATATTATGCCATGTGAGGCTATATGCTAACGAGTCTTCTCTTTGTGAAACAGAATGAGAGCGCAAACGTAACGTAGAGGAGTACAGAGCTCGAGTATTTATATTTAAAACAGGAGCTAATCATATATGATATTTCATTTATTACTTTTAAATTTACCAATTATATAAAGCGATAAGAATTTAGAACTTAAAGCTATATTAATATTGACTACTAAAACTAAAACATATTTAATAAGATGGAGGTGCAATAAATGTAACATTCCTCCTTATTGAATCATTTTTTAAAAATACTACGCCTTCTGATATGGGTGGAGAGGTGATTCCCATATGATACCATTTTTTTTAAATTATAATTATATTTTATAGATAAATTTTTTTTTTTATTATAACAAAAAATTTTCGGATCTTTTTTCCGAGTCATTATGAAATTATTTACAATGGACATAGGTAATTTAGGTGAATATTTTAAATAAATTTTCTTAAATATCAAAGATTATAAATTCATAAACATAACTTTTCCATGAAGTCTTAGAGCATTTTCAATGCAATATCCTTAAGATAATATTTATAATTAAAATTAATGATTTTCATCCGCGAGGGGGGTTTTATAAATTTTTTTAAATGTCTATTCTATTTATAATTTAAATATTAGTTTAATTATTTTAAGAGTTAAACTTTTTAAGAGATGTTACTTTTATATCGATATTTTGTATAATAAATTGTGTAGTAATTATGTAATGCCACTTAATATAATATTAAAAATGAAATTTAATTTTTTTTTATCAGATTATGATAAGGGATTTTATTATATTTATAATATACTGTACCTGGTCATATTGATTTAACTTTTAGATTATTTAAAGATTTATGATAAAAATTTAGAGATAAAAGATTTTCTTAGAAATCCATTTTATTTAGATTCCTGAAATATTCGTTGTTAAATTTATGATAAATGAACCGATTTCAGTGAGGGAAAAAGTCTCCCTAATGTTCAAGCCTTTAAGAAAATATAGGATACAACCATGATTCGTCTTATTCCTAGTGCAAAATTATATTTTACGATCAAAGCCCACTTAGAGTGCGATGGTGAAATATATTTGAAGAGCAAGGTCTAGACTGGAACAGCCATAGATTTTGGAGGTATAAAGAAAAAAATTAATTTTTTTAAGTGCAAACTAATAAAATCACACTCTTTTTCTAAAGAGTTGTTAGGCAGATGCCTTAAGATTATTTTATTTTTTAAAAAAATTTGTAAGTAGATTATATATTTTTTAAATTTGAACGTTGTTTAGTAAGTTTATAATAAAAGTTTAAAGGTTATTATTAAATATTAATAGTAAACATTTTTTTAGAAATTTTTAACCATTATCGCGCTAAGCCCAAAATATATTGATATACTAAATAGAGGTCTGCAATAGGCGGATTTGGCCAATAAGGCCGCCCATTCGTTGTTTTAAAATTTTTTAACTAGCCCCTCTCCCCCTATATCCTAAATTTTGTTTAACCTATCTGCCCGCCTAATGTTTAAAATATCGTAGAAAGTCCACCCATGTCTGCCCGGATAATGAGCGGACTAAAAAACCATTGCAAATCTCAAGTACTAACTGCTGAAATCAGCTTATCTAATTTGGATTTGTCTCAATTAATATAAAAGCAGATATTTAGTAATTAAATATCATCGATAAATTTTTTTGAAAATATTGTAATGGAAATGTGAATTATTAGAAACCTGCAATTCCCGAGTAACGTTTGGAAAAAATTAATTGAGCCGGGACGGGCGAAAAAATTAATGGACCTGGCTGGCAAAAGGTAGATGCCCAGCGCGTTTAATAGATAATTAAAAAAAAATATTTGAAAGCTTAATTTTGTTAAAATAATTATTTTGTTTATAAATATAATTTTAATGATTAAATGACCCGCTACATGATCATTCATTTATAAATACTATTTCCTTTTCCTACATTTTGTGTTTATTGCTTTAATAAGAAAATCATGAAACTTAAATCTTCGTTATTGTTTATTTTTTGTAGGGGACATTTATGGATTTTAAAAAATCGGACCGGGCAATCTTAGTAAAAAATTGGAATCGGCCGGGCCGGAACTAAATCAGGCAGGGTCTAAAAATTTTGCCATTTGCAGACCTCTAATTATTCTAACAAACAGAGTATGTACCGATGAATGTAATGCGAAGATGATAGACCTAATAAATATATAAATCCTTTAAGATTTAAAGCCTATAATTGACCAAATAATCAATAGTTTAACGAGATTCTCATTAATCGGTGACTTCATACTCTGAATCACCTCCGAGGGCAACAATGTTTCAAGGGCAAGAGAATAGAGCTTACAAGACGTGTTATCATTACCATTTACGTGATCATATATAGAGAAACTGCCCGAGGTAGAGTAGATTACCTGGGTAGGATAGCAATACAACAGATGCTAGGGGAAAATGGGCACTCATAACAGTCGATACTACCGTGGAGGTGTCTAAGATAGCATATTCGGAACATCGGATACAAAACCTGATAAGTCACCGAGGAGTTTGAGTCATTAAATTGGCCCAAAAAAAATAATATTAAGCAACCTACTGATTTTTTTATTAGGATGCAGCGTTTATCGCGAGTATTTTATTTATATTTAGATAGTGTTATTTTTTTTATTAATATTATTTTTATTGTTTGCATTAATATAAAAAAAATATACAAGATATTAGACATTTTAATAATTATGGTTTTTGTATTATAAATAATGAAATATAAGTGTTTTATTAACTAAAGTGAAAATAAAGTTATGAGCTAAAAATTAATATGTGCTTTGCGTAAAATTTAAAGTATAAACACGCAATTATTAATCTTTGCAGGTAAATTAAAAATGGATATAAAATATTTAATTTTAACAGATTCCCTAAATAAAATTGGTATTGTTACATAATCTAAATTGTGTAGGTGAAATTACTTTGTATCACCATTAGCGGTGATTTTTAATAATATTTTTTTAAATATTATTCTTAAGTTTTTGGGTTAATTTAATTTAATTTGTAAGTTTCAAGGTAATTGTTTATTTTATAAAATATATTGTTAATTTGAAAAATGATGAAATATATAACTAAAATTAGGTAGTTAAATAATGAATGTCCAAATGGTTCTAGAAAATCACCTAAAACCTGAGAAAATAGAATAAATATAAAAACTATTTAACAATGATGCGTGATAAAAAACCCGAAACACAAGGCTAAACACTAAATAGAGAAATGATTATATTCTAACGAAGTAAAGCTGGGTTACGATCCACGAGGAAGCATGCTGACCAGTTGCGATGAAGGGGCGAATAGAATTTAAGGTTTCAAAAGAAGTAACAATAACGGTGATGATATGAATCCGATATATTAGACAATTGTCTAAACGGAGTCGGCAATTGACCTAACTCACATAATAATGGCCAAAATTCCGTCATGAAGAAATTCATCGACTGGCCAAGAATCGAATAAGAGACCATAAAAATTGAACTATTAATAAGGGCACTTTCTATGCTTAACACGTCTTGGTCATCTTATAGAACGCTTGCTCATTATAATTTTTAAAATGTATAGCAGCTAATATATTTTTTTAATTAATAGGGATATGTGAATGTTATGTTTCGACATATTTCAGTGCTGATAATTTGTCTTATTTCTGCATATTGTGATAGGAGAATCGAGTACCTTAGCTTCTATTATATAAAATTTTTGTGGGTCTCGGCGATTCTCCTATTACAACAATAAGCATAAATAAGGCAAAATCTGTTTTAATGATTATGTATAATTTTAAGGTGAACCATAAATATCGTAATCATAATAACATTAACATAGAAGGAAAGATGACTTATTGATAGCATTTTTGCTTGCAGAAAATAAAATAGACATATAAAAAAAAATTAAAATTCAATATTATAATTATAATATAACGCCGAGAATAAAAATTAATATCACGAAAATGAAAGACTTTTAGATCAAAATTCATAGTTATAATCTTTATAACATCGACGGTAGACTAGCAAATTTTATTTTCTGAAGGGACATTTGAAGGTTTTGAGGGGGCAGTTACTCGATTTAATCTGGATATGGGTTTATATGGGATCGATATTTAAGTTAAAACTTGAATTTATTAATGACTAATCTCAATCTATATATGATATATAGATAGATAATTAATTTAAAATATTTTAGGATATAGAATTAATAAATACCGATTTCTAAAATTCCAATTCTTTCTTTCTTGTTTTTCTGAGTTTAATAATATCTATCAAATATCAGATATTTTCAGTTTTAAAATATAATAATACCAAATTGAATGATTATTATTTTTATTAACATCTTCCATTCATTAGGTTTATTTTTAACATGATCATAATTTTTGGTCTATTGTTACAAACACAATTGAAATAAGGTTTTAATTTTAAAAAGATGCATTTAAAATATGTCGTTTCATTGAATCGGAAATAGTAAAAAATAAATATACTAATGTATAATGACAAGAGTTTTGATTGATGATTTGTGTAACTATTATCTAATTTATTTTGGGCCGAAATTATGATTTTACGTTAGACTCTCGGTATTTTTCGTCAATGTCTTCTAAAATTTCTTTCTTTTTATTACCTTCGATCGTACCTTGAAAATTTTGAGCGTGTGTCACAGCTGGTTTGGGTATAGAGACTAGTGATTTTTCGATTAATTGGGGCGGAAAAGCAACACTAAATACCTGAGGATAGTTTTCCACGAAATGAACGGTTAATTCATCCTTAATAAATTGAGGTAGATCGTCAAAATCTTTTCTATTTTCTAGGGGAAGTATTACCGTTTTGACACCTGCTCTTTTAGCCTGAAAATATGTTCAACAAAAATTAATGGAATATATAAATTATTAAATACACAATAAAACCAATATAGGGTGATCATTTTGACTAGAGTTAAGAAGGTTGACACTGTATAGAATAGTAATTGTTATATTTGAATATCGTATATATTCAAAAGGTTAGGTTATATATTTTAAAAGGACGTTATTTGTATTTTATATTATTATAACTTTCCGACATGTAATATTATATTATCGAGGTTAATCAAATTGCATATTATTAGAAGTTAAATGGAATAATTATATAAATGTATATATACAAAAGAATTACAAATAAAATTCATTATTGTTTTTAAACTTTCGATATAATATTTGGCGACGAGGTAAAAAAGTCGCGCGGTTTTCGGTTTTCGGTCAAGTTAAATGTTATATAGAATTTTAACTTTTTTTTCTGTTTATAAAAAAAATAAATAAAATAATAATAAATTTGTTTAGAAATTATGGATAAAAGATGAGAGATAAATGGGCTATACGACTATAGACACATAAAATATCCTAAAAATTTTCTATTGATGACTATGGAAAAAAAAAATATTCCTCAAATTAACGTCACTTTGAAAAAAACTATTTATAGCTTATGGAGGAATAAATATTAACTGATATAAAAAAAAAATTACTTTTCCCAAGGAAATATGGGCAGATATATACAAAATTGCAAAACAACTTATAAAGATAAAACAACTGTTCTGGCATCTAGAATTGAATTCATTAGATTAAGTCGCGGGCCTACAGAATCCGTTTTGAGTTGTTTAAAAACTATAAAGGAGCTAGCCCGATGATGCGAATTTGAAGATAATGAAGAACTAAGAATTAACGATCAATTAATCGCCGGAGAACTATGTTTACGACACCCAGATACTAAAGACGAAGACCAACCGTTAAACTTAAACAAAGTTATAGAATTTATAATAATGATAAAGGGCACTATCAAAATGATTGATGCAGCCTATTTAGATTTCCATGGATTATAGAATTTATAATAATGATAAAGGGCACTATCAAAATGATTGATGCAGCCTATTTAGATTTCCATGGATTATAGAATTTATGATAATGATAAAGGGAACTATCAAAATGATTGATACAGCCTATTTAGATTTCCGTGGATTATAGAATTTGACTTATCGTGATTGATACAGACTATTTAGATTTCCGTGGATTATAGAATTTGACACAGCCTATTTGGATTTCCAGGGATTATAGAATTTGACTTATCGTTACCAACATATGTAAAAATTAACAAGATATGATAATGGTAACGTGAAATTGACAAACTATATAAAGAATTTGTTACAGTGTTTGATAATAAATTAGGATTAATAAAAAATGTCGAAGGAAAACTACAATTGGAAGAAAATACAAAACCAATTGCACTGCGAGTACCGTTATTGAAAATGAACTGAAACGTTTGGAAGAAAATAATATAATAAAGAAAATAGATCCATCAACAACAAGAGTAACCTGGAGTACTCTAATGGTAGTGGTACGTAAAACTTCAGGTGAACTACGATTATGTGGAGAATAATTCTACCAACGTTTGAAGAATTAAACTATAGAGAATATAAAACAAGTTGCATCAAACCAAAGATTATTACGTTGGGTTTATAAATTATCTGCATATGATTATGATAGTGTACAAATATAATTGCAGATGCTTTATCACAAATAAGGGAAGATTATAAAGTTAGGAGATGAAAACGGAAAAAATTAATAGATGAACTTGAACTTGGTAAATAAAAAGATTGTTAGACGATCTTAACTTGATGGGAAAGAAGATATGTTATATTTGGGAGGCGGGCATAAGGGCTCGAATCCCTGAAAAATTTGAAAAACCTCTAAAAATTTTAAATTTTTTTAAAAAATAAAAAAATCATTTTGAAAAATATGTTAACTAAAAAAAATTCAGGTAATTTAAAAAATTTTTTTGAAAACCCAGAGATCGTAAAGGTTAGTGACAAAAAATATTAAATCTTACATAAATTATCCTCAATATTGCAAAAATTATGCTTAACATTAGATTATGGCTATATTAAGTCTCAGATAGACACCGATGTTTAGGGTTTTCAAAAAATAACAAATAGGGCCAATATTTTTTTAAAACCTGAATTGATCCGATATTTTTTTAAAATTGTTTTTGGTTATTTATAATAAATAATTAATGAAAGAAACCAAAATACAATTTTTTGTTATAAATGTTTAAAAATAGTTTAACATTTTACACTATTTTTTGCCACAATCAGCTAATGTTGTTAAACGGTTCGATTTAGCCAATTTTAAAAACGTTTATCTCAATATTTTGGCCAAAAGTAAATTACTCAAGCTTATTGATTTTGCCCACAGATGGCAGAAAGGTTTGAATTTCTATTGGCAATATTTTGAGGCTTAGGTAATAATATTTTGGCTAAAATCTTGATTTAACTCCTTTTATACAGTTAAATGGAGCTGTTTAACAATACTACATTCACCCAAAGTTGCAAATATTTTAAATGAGATTATTAAATTTTGGGAGAATGAAAAAAATAAAATACACTTAATCATTTGTAATAGTTAGTTGGTTTTTAAAAAAAATAGAGAATATTGATATTTTTATGGCATTGATAAAAAAAAATAGATGGTAAGTAATCATTTAAATATCGGATCGGGTTTTAAGTAATATCGGAAAATATTGAATAGGATCGGTGAAAGTGCGGATACGCACAGACCTACATTAGATATCTATTACCTAATTAATTGGGCAATTACAAATTATTTTTATTTAGTTATAATATAATATATTACATATTTTTATTTATCACTTTAAACTTGTATTCTAATCTGCTTATTCTATCTCATTTTATAAATAAAAGAAGAAAAGCGATTGAAATATACAATTTCCGGTCAATTATTTCTATGAAATTAAGCAAAAAATGACCGCTCTAATGTCACAATGTTATTAAATGTATCTAGATACATATGCATAATCTAAAAATATATATAGAGATATTTTCCCAAAGATACATTTTTTATTATGATTATGTAAAGTGTATATATTGACAAAATTACAAATCTATTGTTGAAACCAGAGTTTATGCTCTTGAAAATAAAAAAATATTAAAGATTTTTGATCTCTAAAGATTTTTTAGAGAGTGCTCAAACAAGTTTTTTGATCAAATTTTACTTAAAATTTCAAATCATTTCTTTAAAAAACTTGTGATTTTTAGCATAAAAAATATTTTATGATGAAATCACAAATTTTTATTTTGGGCAAAAAAATCTTCAAAACATTTTGAGATTATTTATTTCAAACTCTAGTTAAAACTCAAATTGTGAATTGAGGCAAACATTTTATTTATATATAATTAAATGATTATAAAATATTATTGTTATCATTAATAAAACATTCTCTTAGTTTTCAAGGCATCCCTATTTTAGTGTCCCAGTCTTTCAACTGGTGTGCGGGAAGTAGGGCAAGATTAATCTTTAAATATAATAAAATCCTCACTCATTTATAGAATAGTCAATCTGAAGGGAGTTAAAATTTATATCCTTATTATCCTTTTGAATCGCTGTTTCAATTCTTCTTTTTATCTTTTAAATTTTCTGGCATTTGAAGCCAGTCATTAAGTTTGAAAATTTGCTGATACTGCGTTGATTGTTTATTCTTCATCAATATTACTAATATTAAGCATATATGTTTTAAAAAATATTATAAAGATTATTATTAGGTTTTCGTCATCCATTGTGTAAAGTAAAACTTGCCTCAAACAAATAAAAAAAAGGATTACTTTAAAATTTTAATATAATATAAAAAACGCCAAATAAATTTACCAAAATTTATCCACAAATAGATATAGATAGTTATTTTTATATAAATGCATCAAGATCAGAAACTTAATGATACAACATTCATGTATCTAGATACTTTAACAACTTTGCATATTTCTAGGTAAGCCCATCCCTTTAAAAAAAAGTTATCCAAAATAGAATTAATGTATCTACCGCAATAACTTTTTCTTTGATACCACCAACGGGCAATATTTTCCCTGTCAAAGATATTTCTCCAGTCATAGCAATATCATCCCTGACCGGTGCGTCATTAGCTAAAGAAAGTAAAGCTGTTACTATCGTACAACCGGCACTTGGGCCATCTTTTGGAGTCGCTCCCTAGGTGCATGATAAATTTAAAAAAATTAAAACAATATCCAATTTTATATATTTTATACCTCGTATTGGAAATGTGAAACCTATAGGAATTCGGAATCTCTTAATTTTAAATCATTTACTGAAGGAGATTATTTAGAAAAATTTGATTTGAAAATGAATTAAATCTCGGGCCTAACCAATATTTCTCTTAAAAATAGGACAGGGTCTAAAAAAAATATAATAGACATTAATTTTACCATATTTTTGTTATTAAAATATTATAATAATTAGAATTTATTTATATTTTAGGATGAATAAATTATCAATTTTTATCTAACTTTAAAAAATATACTTAATTTATTATCGGGCTTGGCTTAAAAAGGGAGAAAGCCGAGCTTGAGCCAGAAATAAATTAAATTTTCATGGTTCTATCCCATAGAGGCAAATATCAAAGTTAAATCATTTTTAAAACAAAACAGTCATCCTTTTCAAACGAAGCTCCTTATTTATAACAAAAAAAATATTTATAATATTTTTGAAATTATCTAAATTATTTCTTAGTTTAAGTTAGACATGAGTGTAATGGGAATAAAGAAAATGGTACATTGTAGCAGATATGAGCATTACAAGTTGAAAATCGAGGGCTTAAAAAATGTTTTCGATTCTTTTCTTTTCTTAAATTAAATGATAACTAAAATTTATTTGGTATTGAGACAAAGCAATTCATAATTTTTATTTAATTTAACTAAATGCCTTTAATTTAATAAAGTTCAATTGAAAAATTGATTTTGCTTGCTGGACTTTACTGCATAAGTCAAAGATCTGATCTGTCGATGCGGGTTAACTCAATTTGGGTCTTTTGCGCGGCGGTGTGAGCCAGCTGCACTTAAAAATAAAAATTGATAACTATTTTCTTCTCTTTAGAAATAGGATTATTTTGATAAGAACCAGGCATAATGTGAAAAAGAGTTTAACAATATTCTATTTTATTAATGATTTTAGAAATTCTTAGACATAAACATTGATCAGTATAAAAACTATTAATGTTTTGAAATTTAAAAAAAAATCAAATCATTCTCTTTTCGAAAATGACTAAATTAAGAATTTAGATGAGGAGATCTAATAAAAATATATATAAATGAGATAACCAAAATAAGATATTTTTGTTGGTCTTATCCTAAGCTATCTATCCAATACAACAAACATATAGAATTTTTTCCCAATGAGACTTCACCTCCCCAAAACATAGCCCTAAAATAGTCAAAACTGTTCTATTTCTAATATATAGAAATATACAATTTATTTAAAACTAAAATGATAAAATCGAATAACCAACCTCGGGAACATGTAGATGTATCTGAGATTTGAGCAAATATGGATTGCAAGGGAAGAATTGCATCATAAATTTTTTCGCGTATGTGTAAGCTATCTGGGTACTCTCCTTCATAACGTCCCCCAGATGACCTGTCATTTGAACGATGTTCCCGTTCAATTTGTTCCCATCATCACTTACCGAGGGTGTTGCATTGGTCTCGTAATGGTAATCTTTCTTTTTATCCTCTTCTTGGTAGCGATTATAATGATCGCGGTCATCCTTTTTACCAACCGCTCTATCACCGGCTGTTGCTTCGTAAAATCCTTCATCTTCACTGTTCTTTGATGATTTTATCGATTTTCGATTGATAGTTTTTGGGTATGGGTCGATGGGCCGGACTAGGGATGTTTCTATGTATAAGGTAGATCCACCTGGTAGGAAAAACAGAGAATTTAATTTTTAAACCTCCTGGAATGAATTTGGTAAAAATAAAAAAAAATTAAGTTGGGTATTCTGAATATGCTGGAATACAATTACGGTAAAATCTGATTTATAAAAAAAACATGATCAAAAATAAATTGGTTTATAAAATAACACATTGATGTCAACCTATATAAAAAGAACCGGTAAATACCCTCTTTAAAAGAACCGACCATATCAAAAAGGGAAGATTCGAGCCCAGTCCAGGACATCTCGAATTAAAATTAAACTTTAATGTATTCAATGCATTTAAAATATTTAAAAAATTATTTGGGTGGCCATGAATGCCTCTTTTTTATAGTTACTGCCCGGCAAATATTAGTATGAAGATCAAATAAAAGAGCTCGCCTAATTTTTATTAAAATGGCGGTTGCTATTAATAATATCAAATAAAAGCTTAATAATCAAATATCAAATTTAATATTATAATCAGGCGCGTAAGCAGGAATTTGGTCGGGGGGGGGGGATAATAAATTTTTTAAATATATATTATTGTTATTTAAAAATATCAAGTATAAATTTATTAGGACTAATAACTATTATACACAATTTTAAATTAATGTGAATTATAAAAAAATTATATATAAACCGGCACATAAAAAAACTATAAAATAAATGTGAATTAAAAAATATTAAACGGATATAACTGGCGGCATATGAAAAACTATAAAATATAAAGTGAATATAACCACCATAAGAATCACTTAACCCAAAATAGAAATTTGAATTTCTTGAGCCTTTAAAATTTATATATAAAGTATAAAAAAATTTAAATGTTGGAAATATAATTAATACACAAAAAGTTTTTTAGGAATAATTGTATTTTGTATGTTATATTTACAATGTAAAATCGAATCTTCGTTGGGATTGTGCTAATTTTTCAATTATCTCATCCTTGCTTGGCGTCAAATGCCTATGAATATTCAAAAGAGACAAACCATTCAATCTACTTTCAGAAGTTGTACTTCCTGATTAATTTTTTTTAAAATATATCCGGGCAATTTTTTTTTTAAAAAAACATCCGGGCTGGGTCTGAAATTTTTTTTAAAAAAACATCCAGGCCGGTGTGTATATTTTAAAACCAAATAATTGAAATCGCCATTATTAGCTATTAATCAAAAATAAATATAATTTATTTTAAAAAAATCCGGGCCGGGCTCGAAAATTTTATCTAAAAAAAGCCGGGCCGGGCCTGAAATTTGTTTTAAAAAAACCCGGGTCGTGCCCTGAAAATAGTACCTCTGCAGGGCTCTGTTATTCTTCTTAAAAAAGAGAATGTTCTCTCATTAGTTTACTAATGAGAAGAGTTGCTAATATATATATAACCATTTTAATACATTGGGAATATAACCTAAAATGTGTTTGAAATTATGCAAAACAACCATAGCATTTTTTGGGACTATATCATAGTTATTCAGCTAATAAGGCATCATAAGTTTAACATCTTCATGATAACAATCTAACAAATATATATTTTTTTTATCACCATCTGAAAAAGGTTGGGAAAACTTTTGTGGAAGTAATATCTGTAGATTGGTAAGTGCTGCATGATGAATTAAAAACCATTCATTTATTTGGGTTATAAATGTATCTAAGAGAGGGGACATTTGTTTTAATACTCTTCTACTGATCCTATATTAATGTTTTGACGATGAGCTTACCTTGCTGAAAGTCGAAGGAGACAAATATTAAACACGTATAGCTCTACTTTTGACTCAATAATAACATAAAATTCTTCATCAACAGCCCCTATATCCCTGAGTTCTTAAAAAATGTTCTCCGCTATTCTCATCTCTTAATCAAGTCAATGTCATATATTTGAAAAGTATTACATAAAATAGCTGTATAATTAAATAATACATTCTAATGAGAAAAAAATTTTTCTTTTTTCTGAGGAAATATTTCTTTCAGGCCATTGTGTTATTTCAGTAATAGCATTAATAATCGGTTCTTCTAACTCCATAAAAGCTGTTACTGCTTGATGGCGGAGACTCCATCTCGTAAGACAAGCTTGTGATTTCTTTCTCCCTGTTGGACAAGGAGTTTCAGAAATAATTATTATTTAACTAGAAATTTGAAAATGGTAGATAAATATTATGCCACTAGAAATTTAAAAATAATAGGTAATACGCCAAGGAAAACTTGAAATCGAAATTAATTGATAAAATAACTTAGTAGATGAATGTGATAAATAAATGTAATTAAATATATATTTAATATGAGATAGGAATAAATATTAACAAATATAAATTAACATAAACAATAATATTTTTGAAAAAGAGATTTTATATAATATTTTTAAAATACAGTTACACATTAGTTACCCATAGCTGTCCAAGCCAGTCCCATTACAACGCCTACGGGTAAGGGGTTGAGAGTGTACATTCTGTCGCTACTAAATACGGGTTTACCAACAAATTCTTGAAGATTTGAGTCGTTTATAATTAAGTGGGTAGCTTCGTTATTTACTAGTTTGTAAGCTACTTTCCTCAGGATCTTCACAAAAAAGATAAATATTATTATATTAGTGTTGCAACTAAATTCCCCTCAAAAAACTAGAATATGCTTAAATTTTATCATTTTAATTTATGATTATTAATACAAAGTTGAGTTTCATAATATTCTTTCATTCGATAATATCTAACAATCTACCTTTTACAAGAACCATTAAAGTGAAAACGGTAATCCAGTCTTATATTTTCATTGATATAAAAAGAAGTATCGTTTTGCTTAAACCAGAAAGACCGTTAAAACGGTCTACGGTCCAGTGCCAATCAATGAGCTTTAATAATTTATCACAATTGGTTGTTGAGAGGGAAAAAAATAAGGAAACTTTTTCAATCTGTTTTTGAAGGTTCCTAACTCCACTTTCTCTGCAATATCTACGGATCAAGGTTTTTAGTGCCGAAGGCGATATTTCGGCCTTTTCTTTATCAACTCCACATCTTTCTCTAGCCTGAGGTATCAGATATTGCTAAAAAATATTTAAAAAATTAATATAAATAAATTATAACAAAAATAAAATTTTATTTAAGGCAAATACATAATTAAGAAAATATATTTATGATTACCGGCAATGTGCGTAATCAGGCAATATGTATAATATCATAAAACCTGTTTTAAAAAAACTGGTATATAATTGATTTAAAGTTGAAAAGTATCAAAATAGTTAATTGAGCACGTTTTTAAAATTTCAAACAATTGGTGACCTTTAGAGTTATTTATAATTTATATGCTAAAATCCGTATTGTCTGCTTATATACATTGTCGGTAACATACAAATTATAAAAATATAAATTAGAAGTTCTTCAAACAAATCGCCATTTGATTATGATTACGACTTCTTTCTTTTAATCACTCTATATTATAATAGTGATCAGAAGAATAAAAAACACTGAAAGAAAATCCGGAGAAGAAATACACCCTGAAAATAACTATCCCGAAAAAAAATAATATGATGAAAAGTAAGGAAAAAATGTGGATTAGCTAGGATGAGATTATATGAAATTACCTATTTTTGTAGATTTTTAAAAACAATTCTAGAAATCGTTTATATTATAGAAAGCTTAAAAATTATGTAGTATTTTATTTTTTTGATTATGAGAATTATTCAAATCCGATATATCAGACAGCCTTAATAATTATAGAAATATATTATAATAACTGTGATTTTTACAATAAAAAATAGTAATGATATATATAATAACTTGCGTTTAGTACATATTTAACATTGAGGTAGGTAGAAAGAGAATTTGTTTATAATATATATGGGGCACATTTGCCCTGTCTAAGAAAACTTCATCCAGACTAAACCACTTTTTAACAAGTTTACATTTTTTTGATGAATAAATACTTTTGTTGGTATATTAACAGTAACAATTTTTGGTAGTTATTAGAAATCCATCAAATTTATAAATCATTATTAAATGTTTGATCATTACAAGAACTTATCAGTATGGTAATAATTTTTAATCGTTTATTTTAAATTACGAATAATATCTTTAATATTATGAGATGGAAGCTTTAGTAATAGCAAGATACATTTTGCAAATATGAAGAAGCTTTGCATATATATTTTATTAATAAATAAAAAATATAGCTTCTATTGTATGTAAGTGTAATGAAATGCATTTTTTGAGATATTTTAATTTTTTTTAAAAATACTCAAAACACATTAGTATTTTAAATTACAAAAATATAATCTATGTTTTTTTTTCAAGATTTCACCTTATTTAAAATTAATAACATGAAAGCTGAGAAAACTACTTTAGATAGAGAATTTGATAATTTACATATATAATAGAATATTATAATATTGACTGTGGGAGATTTTTATATAACAAATAAGGAATGTAACATTTATTTAAAAAAGCAATTTAAAAACAATTTCGATGTCTTTTATCAATCTGCTTAAATTATAACGAATTTTAGGCATTTAAATATCTTCAGGAGTCATCGTTAAAATTATATTTGCATTATACATATAGCATAAATACTTCTTTAATAAAATAATTACCGTCCTTCAAAAGGCCTCCAAAAAATGGAATCGAATAATTTAGTCATTAGGAATATAATTTGATAAAATAATTAATATTAGCGATTGCCGCTGCATGATATTTTATAAATTTAAGCTAAAAAGGCTTAATTTGCATTATCATAATAACGTTTAAATCTCATAAAATTTAATGACTTTTTAAAGCAAAATGATTATTATATTATGGCATCCTAGTATTTTTAAAATGATCGAAATGAGTAGCGATTGACAAATATTTTTGGACTCCTCCTGAATTCCCATCTGGGAGATAAGCATCCTTAAAGTCCAACTTTGAATATTTTTGTCTTTTTCCAATCTTTGCTAGTAAATCAACCAACGCTGGGATTATATGATGCTCCTTCACTAGCGCTGTGTTAATAATATAAAATTGGCAAATATTTTAATGGTTCTATCCGTCTTCCGTACATTAACGGTTGGCGTTATCCAATTAAACTGATTCTTTACTGGGTCCCTATATCAATACCCCCATTATTCACCAACCTCTCCAACTCCATCTCGATAGGTTTACGCTCGCCTGGAAACTCCTATGGTTTAACTCTCAGGTCTAAGTCCAATTCCACCTCGAAATTGGTGATCAACCCCGATTTTCCATCAAAGAGTATATTTAACCAATAAGTAATCCCACCTATTTGTCAGTCCTTTTCAATCTTCTGTATTCTAACAATTCTTGTCTTATCTTAATAGCTAAAATCTATGGTAATACAAACAAAGAAGTATCATACGACTCTGTTACTACCACTTGAAGATATTGTATTTCTCCTTTTACTTAAATCAATAATTGTTTTACATTTATCTATCAGCTATTTATTTTCATATGCTCTCAGAGATGATGTAGGAGATAATTTTGGTTTTCCCATTCTTTCCCAGATTTTCTCGATGTTTATAGGGACCCGAGCCTGTAATGAAATCCCAATTAAGCCACAAATTATTGATTCTTGCTGCTATCTTGGTCCGATTCATCTTTTACCCTAACACCTGGTATATCGAGTCTGGTGAATTATTATGATGATTATTGCAATTGTTAAAGTTGTCGTAGTTAGTAATGAGTTTACCCCAATGCTCTTGCAACAACGAGCACAATGGCTTTTTCTCGTACACTAGTGACAAGTCACAAATTTGGCTGGACATTTATCATTCTCTCCATGTTGAAAATTACATTTTGTATATCTCTTTTCTTTACCCTGATAATTCTCATTACATCCTTGTTTTCTGCTATTTTGATTATTTTGTTTATTAGACCAATTATTAACTCTATTTATTTCCCCTTGATCTTGGATTATCTCCTGATATGCTTCTCTCAATAATTAATGCCAAGTCTAATATTGAGTAAATGTAACATTTGATTCTATGTACCCTCAGGAAACCGACTCTGAAATTCTTATTCAACTTTTGGAAGATCAATGCTTGCTAAAAATTCGTAATTTTTCATCAGTAATCTGTATACTGACAAGATTTACATTACTCTAAAGTTGACTAGAAAATTACATTATTTGTTTATCTGCATCTAATAAACTATATTCGCTTATAGAATAATGTATTATTCCTATTAAGAATCTTATTTGCAGCCTCTACAAAATCCTTATACTTCAATTCTATCAATTTCTTTGGGAAAATATATCACTCCAACTAACCTAATCTCTCCAGACCAAAACAAGCTAATAAGACTCTAAGTTTATCTTCCTCCTCTGTTATGCTTTTTAAACTAAAAATCGCCTATACATGAACTAAGTATAACACAATATCTATTTCACTTTTGTAAAATTCTAAGTTAATTGTTTTTATAATATTTATAAGTTTAAATCAAGAATTATTCAATCAATAAAAGTATCGTAATCAATTTAATATATTTACTAATCCAAAACTATAAGTTTAATCAATATATATTATTTCTATTATTATCTTCACCATGATTTTGTAGAGGTTGCAAATAAGCTGTTTTAGAAGAATAATAAATCATTATAACCAAAAAAAGTTTATTAGATGTAGACGAGGGTCAAATGAACAAATAATGCAATTTTCTAGTCGATTTAAAGAGTTATGTAAACTTTGTCAGTATAGAGATCAGAGCCGTAACCACGAAAATGGTGCGTGGCCAGACCCCCCCCCCCCTCAAAAAAAATTTTTTTGGCCCTCAAACCTGGCCCCTCAAATTTAAAAAAAATTATTAGTTATTTATAATTGATTATTTTTATATTTTTAAAATAAATTTCAAATATTTATTCAAAAAACATGTCTAATTTGTAAATTTCTTTCTATACTGTTTTATTATTATCCAATATTAAATCATCATCCATTCATTTTATCATTTTCATGTGTGTTTGTGTATAACATTATATACGAGCGTAATCACATATCACGTTTAAATTGTACTTTCAATGATAATTATTTTATTTATTATAGTTCAATTTCAATAACATTATTATTATAACCAGTTATTTAAAACAGCGGTGAATAATTTAGAATTATGAAAAGTATGTTTCTTCGTGGCAGATGTGCTTGAATATATTTCAGATAAATATAACAAAAGTGAGATGCCTTTTTTTGTTTTAAGGCTGATGAAACAAAAGATGCATAAGGTTGTAAAAATCTGAGCATAATTATTCGCCATATTTTTCCTGGAGAAGTCCAAAAAAATTTAATAAGAATTATTAATTTACAGGTCTTTCTGCTTAAAGTATTAATGATTGAATTTTATAGCAACTTAATGAGTTAAATATTAATTCACCGAATATAATAAGCCAAGCATATGATGGTAAAAACTTTATGCCTGACCAAAATAGAGAGTGAAACCTTACTTTAAAAAAATATTAATAAAAATTCCTTTTATACATTACTACAAGCACAAGCATGTTGTGCTTCAAAATTTGCATAATACTATTGTTATAATTTCTAATTTTTTTAATTTATCCAATGCATTGTACGTAAACTATTTTTAATTATTGTAGAAATGCATAATTAGATTTTTTGCATAAAAAATATTGATTTCTTAATTATATTTGGTTCAAAGGGGGGGGGGGTGAAAGGATGCAAAATTAATATAAATATCGAATCGGAATTGGATCGGTTTTAAACCAATATCGGAAAATATCGGATCGCGGTGAAAAATATGTGGATCGGCACAGCCCTAATTATAATATTATTTTGTATATTCATATTATAGTATTATTTTGTATATTCATATTATAGTATTATTTTGTATATTCACATTATAGTATTATTTTGTATTCAATTACATTATTAAATTTTTAATAAAAATAGGAAAAATTTTCTATGAATCCTTAATTATTTGTTTTATTTAAAAAAATAGTGGCCCCCTCAAGTAAACAGCTGCCCCCCCCCGGCTAAAAATTCATGGCTACGGCCCTGATATATTGATGTAATATTGATAAAAATTACGAGAACAATTTTTAGTAAGCGTTGATTTTCCAGAAGTTGAATACGAATTTCGGGCCGGTTTCCCGAGGGTAAAAACATAAACACATCAAATGTTACATTTACTCAATATTAGACTTGGCATTAATTATTGAGAGAGCAGATCAAGAGATAAGATCAAGGGGAAATAAATAGTTAATAACAGGTCCAATAAACAAAATAATTAGAATAGCAGAAAACAAGGTTGGAATGATAATTATGAGATAATGAAAACAGATGTACAAAATGTAATTTTCAATATGGAGAGAATGATAAATGTCCAGCCAAATTTGTGACTTGCCACAAGTGTGTGAGAAAAGGCCATTATGCTCTTTGTTGCAAGTGCATTGGGGTAAATTCATTACTAAATACAGACACCTCTAACAATTGCAGTATGAATAGAATGTAATAATATGAAAGAAGGGAATCAACAGGGGTATAACAACTATAATTATCAAATATCATATATATTACAATATCTTGTTTAATTTAATTATTATGTCTCATTTCCGAGTTAAATTTTATTATAAAAAAATTTCTTTATACTAACAAATATATAATTGGTTAGCAAGAATTGAATTTTTTTTAAAAATTAAGTCACTATCATAAAATATAAATTTGATTAACAGTGATCTAATCATATTCATTCAGGAAACAAGAATAATAATTTGTAATATTAAGGAGTAATTCAAACGAATAATCTGTTAAAAAGTGAATTGTTAAATTATTTGTCAAATTTTAATTATTATTAGTATTTGATTATAAATATTCTTGGATTGAATAATTAGTCATTTGTATTTATTAATTCAGACTCAAGTTTGAATAGAATAATCTTTAAATGGGTCTAATCAAAACGGAATATATTAAATAATATGCAAGAGAAATGAGATATCTGGGGATGTGATTTCCGATACAATTGTGCATTCCATTTATGAGTTGCCAATGTAGGTTAAAAAAATTTCGCAAGTGAACCTATACAGAAAAATAAGTCATTTTATATAAAGATGAGAATGTTTATTTTTAAATATTAGAATAAAATTCAATTTATTTCAAATACTTCAGCAATAGCCAATTTTTCTTCAGCCACATAGCCAGAAACGTCAATCATTTCCATTCTATCCCTCAGTGGTTCTGGAATAGTATCGGTTATGTTGGCCGTACATATAAATAACACCTTAAATGGTAAAAATTTACATTAATAATCAAAAATTTTAAAAAATAAATTTAGCTGATAATGATTGTAATTTAAAAATTAAATAATATTATCAAAAATAGAGGGAGAGGAAATGGTTAATATTGCTAGATAATATAGTAGAGCAATAGTTGATTTTATTGACTAAGGCTAAGCCTAAGCTGAGTGTTTTTTGGCTAAGAAATCTTTAAAAATATGACAAATGTCACTCTTTTGAATTACATTATCATTGAATTTTCACGATTATCGATTCTATTAAAAAACTGGAAAAGTTTTATAATGACGAATATGAAAATTGTATTGAATTTCCAAAACAAATTTAAAATATTCATTTTTACCTAATTTCATTAAAAAATCATTGGAAAAGTTTTAAAATGACGAATATGACAATTGTCACCCTACTGAATTAAATTATTATAAAATTTACAGTTAGGCAGAGCGTTAGCCAATCAAAATCAGCTTAAGCTCAACTTTAGCCATTAAACTCAGCCTAAGCTCAGCCTTACCAAAATAAATCGGCACAAACTTAGCCTTAGCCAAAAAATCGGCTCAGACAGTCAAAAAAATCGGTAAGGCTAAGACGATTACCCAACTATACTTAGTAGACCCCTTAATTTAGCTACTTTTCTTACATTTAATTAATTTGAAAATAAACGTTTACCGAATGAAGACTACCTAGACCAACGAAGAAATAGTATTGAAAAATATAATTCGTTTATCTGTGTATGAAATGATATTGACAAATTTTAAAAACCTTGGACAAATCTACTGAAACATCTAGATAATGATCCAAAAAATTATAGTTTTGTTCGGGGTCCAGCATTTCGAGCATAGCGGAAGATGGGTCCCCTTGATAGCCTTTGCCTATTTTGTCAACCTGTGTGATAGATTTATCGTTTTTATTCAAAATGGGTATGTAGCGGTAGTTACTGTTTAAAAAAGTAATGAGTAACTAGTAAAGTAAAGTTATCAATCGTTACTTACTTTTCATTTTAATCCAATTGAGCCTAGTTTAAAAGATTTGATCATAATCAAAATAACTATTTAATTTAACACTTCAATGAGCTAAGTGGTTAATTTTAAAATAAAATTATAATATATTGAAACTAGTGTCAAGGCCAAAAGGGGGAATCGAGGGGGTGCCCCACGGTTGCATGATTTTAATTTTTTCAAAAAACAATAACTCATATTTTTGTTGACATTATTAAATTATAGTTTATATTATTAATGCAATAGCATCCTAATTTAGAGTTAGTTGCATTATATTAATTTTTATATCATAAATTTGTGAAAAATTGTGAAGTCTTTAGATGGTTTCACAAATAAGAGGCCAGAAGGGATATTTCTGCTGCTTTTTAAAGAAGTTAAATTATTCCGTCTTCCGAAGAAGGGTGATTGCCCAAATAGTTGTCAATTTCAAATAATTTATACATTGCCTTAAGAATTTCAATGACTATATATATCACCTAGTATATGTGACGAGAGATGTTTCCCGAGATTAAAGCGAATTAAAACATATTTGCGTTCGACCATGACTCAAGAAAGATTGAGTAATTAAAAAATTTGACAGAATTAAATCAAAAAAATTATATAAATATTTATAACTTATGTCATGTATCTACTAAATTGTGCCGTAATTTTTAATAGTGAAAATAAAATTGTTTTTTTATATCAATTTTATGTATGATGGGAGACGGGATTGCTAGATTTCATGATTGGCCCTAATCATCATTCTTCCATATACCATTTTTTATATTTTTCATATCTCACAGTCACATTTTTAAAAATAATCTTTTCAACCTTATTATTAAACAAGTTAACTAGCGATACATATATTTTATATTGTATGGGATTATATTAGTAGTGCTGTAAAGTAACGGCATTCGTTACCTTCTTCTAGAAGTAACGAGTAACGGTAACGCATTTCTTTTTTTGAGTAACGTTAATGCAAAACGTTACTTCAAATTTTTCTTAAATATATGGAAAACATTATTCTATTATAAAATTTTTATTTATTTTTTAAATAATTTAAGCCGAGTTTTAAATTTCATCAACCACTAAATTTCTTCATTTTTATTTTAAATTTTCAGTCGTGATCGCTAATCTAATTAATATTAATCAATCGATGTATGCAAATATATATTCTTATTAATATTATAATTTATTTTATAAAGAATATTAATGTCGATTGTACATTGTCTTCAGATTAAGTTGAGTAAAGCCTGCCTTGGATTCAATATGAAAATTTTTTTACACTAATAAAGAAAACTAAGGGTACAAAATTTACACTGCAGGAGTTTGTAAAAAAATGGAATGCGCTGAAGGAATGGGAAATGTGGTTCAAATGGCAAAGCAGATGGCAAAAAAGAGGCAGGATGTGGTAGGTGTTAAATGTTTGAAAAATATGGATAGTAGTGGTATTAAGAACACCTGGAAGATCTATATGGAAGGATTTTTGAACGAAGAAAATGAATGGGATAATAATGTTAGTTGTGCAAAGATAGAAGGTCCAGGGTATAAATTTGGCAAGGAAGAAATAAAGAGAGCAGTGAAAAAGATGAAAAAAGGGAAGGCGTCGGGTTTAGCGAGGGTGGTATCAGAGATGCTTAAAGGTTCTGATAATTTAGGGATTGAATGGTTAATGAATTTAGCCAATCAAATTTTCATAGAAGGAACTATTCCCGAGGACTGGCGAAGAAGTATAATATACCAGTATACAAGGGGAAAGGTGATCCTTTAGTTGCGGGTCTTACATAGCTATTAAACTCTTGGAACATGTAATGAAAGTATTTGAGAGTGTTAGAGAAGCGGATAAGGGATCAAATTAAAATTGATGAAATGAAGTTTGGTTTTACATCGGAGACACGATAGATGCAATTTTTGTGGTAAGACAAATACAGGAGAAGTATCTTGCGAAGGAAAAGAAACTGTATCATGCATTTGTTGATTTGGAGAAAATTTGACAAGGTGTCGCGTGAGGTTATTTGATGGGCCTTGAGAAAATCAGGTGTGGAGGAATGGTAGGTTATCGCAGTGATAGCAATGTATGTGGGAGCACAAACAGCAGTACGGACGGATTATGGTGATAGTGAAAGCTTTGAGAGTAGGATTTCATCAAAGATCCGTGCTGAGTCCGTTATTATTTATCTTAGTAATGGATGTAGTGGCTAGAAAAATGCTTGAAGGACTTCCCTGGGAGCTATTATATGCAGATGACCTTGTATTAATGGCAAACAGTGAGGAAGAATTGAGGCATAAAATTATAAATGGAAGATGACAATGGAAGCAAAGGGTCTGAAAATGAATGCATCAAAGATAAAGGTGATGATTGGTGGGGAAAATCTAAAGATGAAGAAATCCGGTAAGTGGCCTTGTGGTGTATATGGGAAAGTAGTTGCTGGAAATTAATCCAATGCACCAGATATCAGAAATGGGTACATAATAGATGAAGAGTGGAAAAGGGAAGTTTAATGTTAGCAAGAATGACCTTTATTTGTAGAACATTCATGACAGGGATACATAATAATGATAACGATGGTGGTGTAGATATTGGCAATGGGGTTAACCCTAGAAAAATGGATACATAATAATGATAACGATGGTGGTATAGATATTAGCAATGGGTTAACCCTAGAAAAATGGATAAGTTTTGTTATTTGGGTGATATGCTAAACGCAGGTGGTGGTGTAGATTCAGCCGTTGTTGCAAGGGTCAGAAAGCTTGGAAGAAGTTCAGAGAGATGTCGTCTATTCTTACAAATAAAAACTTCTCTTTGATGTTAAAGGAGAAAGTTTATGTAAGCTGTGAGGAGTTGTTTAGTTTATGACTGGGAAACATGAGCAATGAAAACGGTTCACGCAAATTTAAAAGAACAGAGATGTGGATGATTAGATGCATGTATGGTATCCCTGAGAGAGAGGAAAACTAGCAAGAAATTGTGAACAGGATTGGGTATAGAAATGATTGGAGTGGTAATGCGACGAAATAGACTAAGATGGTTTGGATAGGTGGAACGTATGCAAAAGATAATTGGGTAAAGAGATGCACCTTGATGGAAGTAGGAGGATCAAGACCTAGAGGAAGGTTCAAGATGACGTGAACAAATGTGATAGCAGCGGATAAGAGAAGCATGAATCTTACAAATATTGATGTTCAGGACCGTCAAAAATGGAAAAGAAAATTCAGAGGGAAAACTGGCCTACCCGGGTAAACCTGGAAATCGCCATAAAACGAAGAAGATGGCTATATATAAAACCTGTTCCTATGCGATTTTAGAGAGAGAAGAAAAAATGCATTTGGTAATTCACCCGCTATTTAAATCAGATTGATCCTCGTAAAACAATGTCAGTAAAGGAGGAAGCTTGAACTTATTTTCTGTTTGAGAAAAGATATTGATAAAGAAAAGGCAGAACGCACAGATTATTTTCTAATAAGATTCTCTTAAAGATGAACTAAGCTTTTTTCAAAATAAAGATTATTCTTTAATTTTTAATAAAATTTATTCAATATAATACAACCCTGCTACCCTCAACGCCAATTGTACGTGTGTTTAGCACTAAGTACTCTTGTTTATCTGATCAAAATTTTACAAATCAATTGTTGATAAAAATTTAAAAAAATTTTACAAAAATATCTTATCTTATAATATATTATTTTTGTATCATTTTATTTATAAATTATTATATAAAAAAAATTCTTATAAAAAGATAACTTATTATTTATGCATAATTATATTTATAATTAGGGAAATTTTTTTTAGTTAATTTTTTAGTAACGTTTTTTGAATAGTCAGCAACGTGATTTCCCTCTTCCTAAGGTAACTAATAAAGGTAAAGCGTTCCATTTTTCAGACGTAACCGGTAACGAGAAACGCGTTTCTTTTTTGAAACATTTTCAGCAATAATTTTTAGTTGTTAAAGCCAATTTTTAAGCGGATAAAAAAATTGGTAAATCATTTTTTTAGCAGAAAAAACAATTGCATCAGCATGAAATTTTTCCTAAAAATATAGCTCAACTATGAAAAAAGGAGAAATAAATGAACCCGCACCTCAACGTCTACCGAATTTTATTAGGCATGCGCCTATAGAAAGAGCCAATTTATCCAATTCTTAGCTTTTACATAAATGAACATATGATATTAAGAAAATATTAGAGTAACTTGGAAAATTAATTATAATTAGGGATGAAAATTTTCCCCAGTCTAGAAATTATACTTATATCATAATAATTACAAATGAAATTTATAAATAATTATAATAAATTTTAAAAGATATTTTTAGTAGAGAATATGTATAATTTCACAATTTTTAAATAGATGTGTTCAGTTTTTAGTTTTAACATCAAATCAATTTATAAAACATACTATATTAAAGTTTTTAAATTGCTCATGTTTGATCTTATAGATGCTTAGAAAGTATTCAGATGTTTAGTACTATTATTATAAACACGAAGCTCAGAATAAGAAGGACTGAATTGCAGTGTGCAAATACTGCAATTTAGAATACAGGTTTCCCAACTTAACAGATGAAAATACATATTTCTAAAAGCAATAGATATCTAAGAACATTAAATAATTAACAATAATGCAGGTATAACATCTGAAGAACAAAGTATGGATATTGAATGCATAAGCCATTTTTATAAAAATTGCCCATTTTCAATAACTCATTGTTTGTATAGAAAGAAAATATTTCAATAAAATGCCTTCAAGATTTTAAGTAAGTTAAAACTTTTTAGACAGCAAATAAAAAATATTGTAAATATAGTTACTGAAAAATTAGATAAAAGTAAAATATTGACTCCAAAATATAATTATCCAGAAAATCGATTTATGATATTTATCCCCTTTGCTTAAATTAAATCCGCAAAACTTTGGGTCAAATATATGAGCAGCATATTGCATGTCCCGGCCATAAAAAAATTTTCGGTTCTTAATAAATTGCTCAATCTTTGAAATCTCGCTCTGCAATAATAGATTGGATTTTGTTTTATAATGGTTAAATGCTTCACTCCTGTGAATAAATGATTGAGGGACATCAAATAAATTGGCTTTATCTCCTTTCACTATCTCCATTTGTGTAAATATGACTTTTTTTAATAATCAGATCATTTAAAAACTCATCATTGTCGATAAGACTAAGTCTCTTATCTCGATCAGTAAAAATATCAAATATTGTCATTTCCTATAAAATATCTTTATTTTTTAATAAGTTATTTATCATCGAAACTATACCTGCCCAACGAGTATGGGTACAAATATAAAGAAATAATTTTATTTTTATTTCTAAGTAGTTGTTTTTCCTTTAATGTCGATAAAAGAATATTGTTGAATTTTACATATTTGATTATACTTTGGCTTTTTTGACTCATTTTAATATTCTTTAGAAGTAAATTTAGTCCACGAGCAACACACCGAATGTATTCAATAGTTGCATATTTATTTTTTACAAGGGTCCATGCTTTATTCATATTGCTTGCATTATTCGTTATTATGATGTTTTCTGTTGAGTTGGGAAAGCTGCATTCTATCACCATGCAATACAGTCCTTCGTACCAAGTATCTGTATACTTTCTAGGCATCTATAAGATCAAATATGAGCAATTTAAAAATTTTAATATAGAAATATATTTATTTAATGTTAAAACTGCAAATACAACTATAAACTTAACACATCATTAAAAAAACTATGAAATCAATTGTTATAAATAGTCTCTACTAAAAATAACTCAAAATTTATTATAAATTTCATTTGTTTTAATTATAATATAAATATACTTTCTAAACTAGGTATTTTATTTTAACGAGTATCTTAGAAAATTTTGCAATGGAGATAAGAAAATTAATGTATATTTAAAAGCAAAGCACAATTATAATTTATGATATGAACCACGAGGTAAAAATGATTTTATAAGATATGATTAAAATTATATTTATTTTATCATGAGACCATTTTTAAAACTGGGAAAGTTTTAGTGGGAAAAAATATAATAAAAATCATGTTGATTTAAGAAAAAAATATTATAAATGGGGAAACTATAAGGGAAAATTTCCCATATATCCCGGAAAATTTATCCTGTGTTACATCCCTAACAATTTAACATAAAAATAGCTGTTGCGATTAAATTATTTTTTCAGAAATTTGAATTATTAGTTGAATTAAAGTTAGAAGAAGTTGGTCTACCCTATCCTATATCTCTTAATCCTATTACTTATCTTATCTTTATTACAGTTATTATTAAAAATTGTAAATAAATTTCAGTTAATAAAAAAATTCCCTTTCACATTACTAGAGTTGAGCTAATATTATATTATCGAAAATGAACATATATCAAAACAAAACATAATTATGATATGAACAGAGAGGAAAAAATATTAAAATATGATAAATATCCTGATTTTGATCAAAAAAACATAAAATAAATATTGGGGAAACTATGGGGGAAATTCTTCCTATGTTACATCCATAGTTATAATCATTAAAAAATAATTATAAATATGCGAGTATGATTTAATTAAATTAATATAAATATATTATTTATATTTTTCAATTCAGAAATCAGATTCTCTAAATTTATACACATTATAACAATCCATTATATTGTTATGATAAAAACCCCCGGAAAAAATCCCAGGAAAAAAACCCTCAGGAAATAAAACCTACGAAAAAAAACCCCAGGAAATAAAACCCCCGGAAAAAACCCCCAGGAAAAAAAACCCCCAGGAAAAAACCCCTTGGGATTATTTTTAAACACTCTCATATTTAAGTATAATCTAGCAATAATTTATATTGAATTGGTATTTAGACAATTGCAAGTTAATAATTTGTTAAAAATATTATTGTTCAGCAACTAGTTAAATGAACAGATATTAAAATGTATTATGATCAGTAAGTTTTAAAATGTATTTTTAATCAAAAGAATAAAAATTGTTTATCAATTAAAAACGCTATAATTGGTATTTATTTATAAAATTAAACAATAATAATTTGGATCTTTATGCCGTGACAAAAAAAAAATTTAATTTACAAAAATATTTTATTCATAAAATTTCTATTTTATAAAAAAAATTTAATGGATCTTATTTATCCTGGAAAGCTCATATTTGAAGGTTATTCTTATACCATACATAAAAAATGCTCAAACAAGATTAGATGGCGCTGCTCAAAGTATTCTTCTTTTAAATGCCGAGCAATACTTTTTTCAACACTCGATAATCAAGACCCGGTTCTTGATACAGCTCATAATCATCCATCAAATATTGATGGACTAGTAGCAATGAAATCCATTGCTAACATGAAGAAGCGATGTGCAGACTCTTTGGAAAAACCTCTTCAAATTTATGCAGAGGAAATTGTAAAATTAGACCAAAGAGTTCAGTCGCATATGTTATCGGAAGGTTCTATAAAAAGAACTCTAAGGAATCACAAAGCAATGCAACACCCTTCAAATCTTGAGAATTTGGAAGACCTAGTTATTGAAGGTATTAGTTTAAATATAATTATGGTATTAGTTTAAATATAATTATATTTTCATAAAAATTTAAATATTGTAGGTGATTGGGCAAATTGTGGCTCCCAGAACTCAAAACGATTTTTATTATTTGATAATGGCCCACAAGCTGAAGAACGCATAATAATGTTCGCAATAGATGATTCCTTGAATCTAATATCTAATAGGACAGAGTGGTATATGGATGGTAATTTTGCCATGTCCCCAAAAAATTTTCTATAATTATATGTGATTAGAGTAGCAATAAACAATATTTTTATCACAGCGGTTTATTGTGTACTCCAGAAAAAAACTCAAAGTACTTATGAAATAATATTTCAAACAATAATGTCTAAATGTCAGGAAAGGGATTTATTTCCTGATCCATTATATATATACATGGATTTCGAAAAGTCTGCTATGACCGGGGTTAAGAGTATCATTGGTATGATTATTAATATGTTTAATAATTTAAATTTATTTTTTCAATTAAGGAATCACATCGTAATTAGAGGATGTTTTTACCATTTGTGTCAAAGTACCCCTAGAATAAATTCAGAAGCTGGGTCTGGAAAGCGAATACGGGACCGATGAAATGCAATGACATTCCTGAGATCGGTTACTCCGAGCAATGGTAAGGATTTACTTGATTATTTTGATAAAAATTATGTCAATGGAGTATCAAGGGAGGTCATAAGAAGCAATTCTCAATCCCAATGACGTCGAATTGAGCCTCGATTTTCTCCAGAAACCTGGAACGTGAATCAGAGCACTTTTTCAGATGAAGAACGAACAAATAATCAATGCAAAGGTTGAAATCATCGTTTTTCTAATCTGGTTGGGAATAAACACCTATCAATCTGGGTACTCATTAAAAAAAATGAAATGCGAGGTGGCTGCCGATGAAACCAAACTTGAAAGATGGCGCGTAGGTAGTTGGACATCGAAAACAAAATCGCAGAGTTCTAACAACCAGATTCGGCTAAAGAAACTTTGTGAAGAATACCGTGATGGGGTGCGAAGCCTTCCAGATTTTATAAGAGCGATTTCCTTCAATATTCGATGGCATCCAATATAATTATTATTATAAATTATAAAATTTGTATTTACATAATCATGATTTACCAATAAAATAAACATTTCTTATTTCTAGGTTTTGTCAAATTTAGTCTATTTAATATCATATTTAAAGATGGTATTGTATTTTTACTATAGCAAAATTTTTTTACAATACCTAGTTATTTTACTGAGGCATTTTTTCCCAGTACCAATTTAAACATCAGTTTTTCTTATTTAAGCATTTTTTATGGAGAGTAGGCCAAATAAAAATATACCTATATTATTAGGTCTTAAGTAAATTCTATAAAAATGAAGGAATTTTTTTCCGGGGTTTTTTTCCTGGGGCTTTATTTTCCGGGGTTTTTTTTCCTGAGGGTTTATTTTCCGGGGGTTTTTTCCGGGATTCATTAATTAATAAGATCAGATATAAATCAAATCCGAGGGCCGGGAAAAAGCTTGCCGAAGGCCCGCCAAAATGGGGTATAATGAGAAAAGAAAAAGTTAGGTCGGCCCTAATTTAATTGGTCCAAAAAAATTAATAATTTTTAAAATATTTATTAGAGTCGGGTCCTATAGAGCAGTTAGGTTATGTCCTGGTTCGATTTATTTTTGATAATTATTTCTGTTCTAAACATCTTTTGAACTAGACCCTACTTTGGCTTGTTTTAAGTGTTTAGTGGCATTGATATTTTTTAAATCTATTAATTTTTAGGTTTAGTCGAAGCTATGTAGCCGGCAAAACAACGGCTGTTTAGTAATAAGTCGAACCAAGACATGCCCTAATTCCTTTTTTATAGATTTCTAGTGATTAGAATCTAATTTACTCCAATAGTTTAGCGATTTAATCAGGGACACTTTTCCAAATTATCCAATTATATCACTTTAAAATGCGAATAGTATTTATTTGATAAAAAAAAATAAGGTATAAATTAAGTGCTATCCTATTATTAGATATAAAAAAAATCCTTTAATATATATATATATATGTGCGCCATCGAAATGCAACATGATTAATATAAGACATATTTTCTTTAAAAAAAATTAAGGCAGCTAACAAAATATGTGTCGAATGGTATAAACACATCAAAGTAAAACTCCTGAAAATTAAAAAATTTTTTTTAACTTCGTCAATTAAAACTAGAGGGTTTTCTGTCTTCGTCTTTTTCAAGCATTGTATAATTTTACCCGGCATGGCTCCCACATAAGTTCTCCTATAAATTATTTATGTTCAAATAAAATAATTTATATGCCAAAATAATAAAATAAATTTGATAACAAATTATATATAGATTTTAATGTCTAAAATAGTTTCAAAAAGTGTAATATAAATCATTAAACCTGTGTCCTTTAATTTCGGCGACATCCGTCATGCCTCCCACGCTAAATCTAAAAAACTTTTTTTCAAATATAATGAATTCATTTAAATTGTCTATAATAATGGTGAAAACTGAGCTAAATTAATAGAATTTGCGAAATATCCTTAGCTGCGAATTCAATTCAATTTTAAGGCTTATTAACAATGTTTTATAGCAAAGAAAGTTTAATCTAAGAGGGATTCGTTATTTCGTTTTTTGGTTCGAAGCGTTAGGGGTAAAAAAAAATTTTAAATGACCTTACTCGATCACTATTTAGATCGGTGCTTAAGGGGTCAAAAATTCTTTTAGTCATACTCAATATTTTCATAAATAGAAAATATTTTAGGTCAGATTTGTAAACCTCGATTTAGATCTTTTTAATATATAATAGGGAATTAATATATATGGAATAATGAGTACTCGATAAATTACCAAGAATAACTAGCTTAAAACTGCATTACATCCTCCTGAGCAATCTTAAACTATCCCTCTTATCAAATATCAACCTCTGAATAATGATAATCTCGAAAAATGGGTCAAGGTTTATTTTTTTTAATAACATTTCACAGAATAATATAATTGTAGAATAATAATATGACTTCTCTATTAAGGGCAGATGCTATAGATTTAGCTATACTCGTTTTTCCGACACCCGGTGGTCCATAAAAGCATAATATCTTCCCTTGAACCGATTTCTTTAAGTGACTAACGGCTATAAATTCCTTTTAAATTTTAGATAATTGATTTAATCAATGAATGCGTTTTCAATTGTCTGAAGAAAAAAGGGTTAAAAATGTGAAAAAATGCCAAAAATCAATGTTTTTTAAAATCAAGGATGCCAAACTAAGATGCGTTTTTTGACGTCCTCCATTCCGTAATGGTCTGCTTCCAATATTTTGCGAGCTCTAGCTAAATCCATATTCTCTTGACTAAATATGCCCCAGGGTAAGTTAGTCAACCATTCAAGATAATTTCGCGTCACACTTTTTTTTTAAAAATAGAAGAAAAAAATAATATATACAATATAAATTCATTATATAAAAAATGGCTACGATTGTAACTCTCATTATCCTAATGTATTATTTATTCGGCACTTCTTCCTAGCTCTACTAGTTATTCTTTCGGTTGTATTAGTCCTTTGTATTAATCAGAAATGACATATATCACTTTTTTAGCAGATAGATAAAAAATTAAAAATGTAGTATATTTATATTAAAAAAAGGAAATATATAGTTCATCAATATTATCATTTATAACTAATTTATGAAATTCATAAAATAAATTTAAAGAAAGAAGCAAAGTTTGAATTATAATCTTAAAAATTTTTTTTATCATCAAAAGATTTTGTATACATAAAAAGATCTTAAATTTTAGATAAAATTTGATCTAAAAATCTTGTTTTGGTATTCTCAAAAAAATATTAAGAGATCAAAAATCTTTGAAGATTTTTTAATTTGAAGAACATTTCAACTATGGAAAAAATAAATAGGGAATAATGGTTAACAGCACCTTCTTTATTATTTACCGGTTTAGAAATTTTGATAAGAATTTTTTTAAATAAAATTTGAAGTATCGGCCACTATTTAAAGTATAGGCCAACACCATTATTTTAGATATCGTGAGTATTGGATTGAGACCGATACCAATTATCGGTCCATCTCTGTTATCTATTAAGTTTTGATCATGGCACATTTCCAACATTGTAGCTATTTATACTATATATTTTTTACTATGCTCTGATAAGTAATATTTGCAATATTTTGGGCATATTTATTCGATATTCCGAATAAGCACTTGTTTCAATGCCCTCTCTTAGTTATTCGTCGGATACGTGCGTGGTCAAATTTCTGAGTTTTCATTTTGTTTTTGGATATATTGGTAGAATTTATATCTTTCAATAATATTTAGTTTTGGGTGCAAAAAATTGTCAAAATTTTGTGTAGTTCTCATAAATCTTTCCTGTCATGGCTCTCCGGTGTACATGAATCCAAAATTTTATAGGTAACATTCTATCATTATGAATAAAGATTGTTCTTGAGTGGTATTCATAAATTTTTTTGGGTATTTGAATTCTTTGAATACGATCTTATTATTCTTTATATTGTATTTTGACTCACTCTATTAATTTAGGCATAACTACACCAATTAAGGACTGGGTATTAAGAAATCAGGGTATTTAGATATAGCGTTGGAAACAACTGCGTAATATTAAATCAATATAAAAAGAGGACAATATAATTGAAAAAATAGGGAAAAGCGAGGAGGTAACCTAATAAAAAAAACACAAATATGATATATTAATTTAATGATTTATTCGATAAAAATTATATTTGCAGAGATTATAAGATTGGTAGTTTTATTTTAAGGAATTAGGCTATTTTTTTTAAAGATGAAATATGTTTTAAAGACACAAAACACTCTTCGACTAAATGCGCAATCATGCTTGGAGTTCATATTTAATATTTATCCATCATTCCTTTATTTGCCCTTATATTTTAAAACGATGAATGAATGAATTTGTTTCTCATCTATAAATAAATAGTATAGGCTTACCTAAACTCAGAGGAGTGGTTATCCAAGAAAGATAATTTGTTGAGCTCCTCGTTGATAACGTCCATGACGGCTTGGGGAACTTTCAGATTCTTCAATTTTTCCCGAAATTTTTCCTCAATAGCGTCCTTATCGTCCTTCTCCATGCCCAACTCTTTTTTGATAACTTTCAATTGCTCTTGTAGCATGTATTTACGGTGCTGTTGTTTTACTTTATCTTCCACCTATACAAAAAATTTACCCAAATTATATTCTAAGTTTCAGATATCAAATTTTAAAGCGTTAGGGCAATAAATATTTAAAATATGCGTATAGTCCTGAAATGGCATCCCGAATATCAGGCTGTAGTTGGATCGGTCGGACAGACATCTTCTCGGACTAGGGGTTTAACCAAATTTTTAAATATATTTCTCAATAAAAAAAAATTTTCTGAAACAAATATAATTCCGTTTCCTTGATATATCTCGTAACTCTTTCCTTAGTTCAATATTTTTAATCAATTTTATTCTATTGGACTCATATTTTTGAAAAAAATAATTAAACCAGATCAGTCGGACAAAATTTATTTAATAATTTTTTCCGATCAGGCCGGCTCTGAGAAAATAAGTCCGATGTAGGGCTCTAATGAAGTATATGTTAGCCTCATTGTGCTGTTATTCCGTCAATGTATTATTTCATAAACTTCAAATCATCATTTTGATCTCGTTTATTAAAATTTCAAAAATCCTAAAATATATTACAGACAGTATTGAATTCTTATCCTACGAATTTCCCAAAAAATATATGAAAAAAAGTAATGTAAATTAGAATAAGTTCACAATAAAATTTCCTAAAAATCATAGTTAGAAATACATTTCCAACAAAATCAGATTTTTTAATACTTAGATAATTTTAAAATATATATAAACGATAAAATAAAATGGCGGTTTAAAAAAAAACCTCTTTTCCAATCTTGTGCTGTAATTTACTGAGCTCGTACTCTTTCTTAAGCAAGGAGAGAGAAAGCATGAGTCTTTTGGGGACGGACTGTTCCTCCAGAACCTTCTGCAACTCCAATGAGTCGGCTGATGTTAATGTGGCGCCAAGATCGGCAAGATAAACCGGGTTATCTGTTACACCACCTATCCTCGTATTTTGAAATAATTGGGCAACACTTTCGCGGTACAGTGGGTTTAAGGTTATAATGTCTCTTATGGTTTTAATGACTTCGGCGCAAAGGGCCTATCACCAAAAATAATTTGAATAAAGTTATAAATATTTTTGGTTCGATACTTTTAAAAGAAACTATACATTCATATAAGATTAAACCCCCTGAATATTTGCCCGAAGGGGAAGATAAACTAATATCAACATATTATAATTAAATTCTAGCTCATCTTTTAAAATGTACAATATTCTAAATGATAATTATTAGGGCTGTGCCGATATTAAATATCGGATCGGTACCGATATTTCGCGTTTCCGAAAATATCGGATTGGGCCGATACCTGTAAAAACCGATTCGATCTTTTTACTTTTCTTTTTTTTGTTATTTTATTTTATTTTATGTTATGATATTTATTTTACATTATTATAATATTTTCTAAATAATTTTTTTAATTTTATTTCTTTTTTAAAATAGATTTCTAATATTTTAAAAGTTTTTGTTATAAAAATAGAAAGGAACATCCAAAGTTTTATTTATTTTAAATCTTTTTAAATAACGCCATTTTTTTTGTTTATACTTTAAATATAGTATCTGAATTGTGGAAATATTTTACAAAAGACAAAGATAATTTTGCAAAATGCGTTATCTGCGGAATCATCTGAGTCTGCCTTCAATACGGCAGGAGATATAGATAGTCCATATTGTAGAAGTTTATTGCCAGAAAATCTAGAGGCTCTCATATTTATTAAAAAAATCTAATATATTATAATTTTATATATTAAATATTACAATTTTATAATTCATACCAACAAATGGATATATTATTAAATATATTTTTTTTATTATAGTCTTAATTGTAGAAATAAAAAAATTAAATTCATAATTCGATTTTTTGCATAAAAATATTGATTTCTTTACATTTGGTTCAAACAGGGGTGATTAAAAATCAGTAAAAATATCGGATCGGGTTTGAAGCAATATCGGAAAATATCGGATCGGTGAAAATATGTGGATCGGCACAGCCCTAATAATTATATAGATTTTCTTAGATATACTCGCTAAAACATTCTTATTTTTTAATAATTGAATCTGGCTATGCAAAGTTATAAGTTGGGAGTGGAGATCAACATTTTGACTATATTATAATGCAAACTAAATGAGGTATTTGCGTTTCGTAATACAATGGTATCGTGCAAATTAAAAAACAATTTATAAACTTTAATAAAAACACAAGCTAGTTTGCTTTTTTGAAAACGCTCAATTAGGTAGCACTATTATGCATTCCTTCGTTTTCTTTTCTTTCTTTCCTTCTGGCAAGGTAAAATATTTTTTTTCTCTCAAATTTTGAAAGAAAAAGGTTGAATTCACGTATGACCATGATTGCCAGATCTTGTAAGTGGATGCCTTATTCTTTATCTACACGTTGACGTTCACACTATTTTCTCATGTTTTTTTTAAAAAATTTTAGTTTCTCACTTTCTTTATAAATATCCATTAACCATTTTTAACCAACCAATCATATTAATTGAAAAACATTAAATTATATAATTAAAAAAATATCTCAAATCAACACCAATAGTTCATAGAAGGCCTTCTCTTTTTTAAATTCATTGTTTTTTAATCTGTTTTCTAAATTTAATATAATTTTTTTCAAATAGTTTACATGTTCTATCTAATATTTTATAAAAAAAAATAAATAATCAATCATGTTAAAAAATTTAATTATAAGAAAATAATTTTTTTTTGTACAAGCCAAACTAATTAATAGTTATGGAAAAATATTTATTTCAGCTGAAAATTAAGATATAATTTTAAATAGAATACTCAAGTAAAATTTTTAATAAACAAATATAAAATAGAACTTCTTTGATTTCAATCAAATTACAAATTTGAGTAAAAAATAAACAAACCAGAACAAAAATGCATTGATACTAAGCCTATTCAAAAACAAATCAAATATTTGCCTAATTTGGAATAATTTGTAACAAATAGTAATGATACAAGTGGTAAATTATTTGTTTTGTTCGAATATGAATAATTAGTTTTTTTATTTGAATGATGTCTTTTAAGAAAATTTTTTTATATCAAAAACTTATCAATTTGACAGGGAAGTGATTCAAGGTATAGATCAACTACTTGTGAAAGGCTTTTTAGTTAGTGTCTTTCAAAAAATTGCATTATAAAGAAGAAACAATTTTTTAAAAAAAATATTTGCCTTATAAAGTGGTTTGACATTATAAATTAAATTAATTTAAGCTTTGTTAATAACTTGACTACATACACTTAATCCACAAATTATTAAATCTAATGTACAAATAACAAATAAAAAATTATGTCAAAATATATATGAATTATATTTATAATATTTAAAAAAAGGAATTATTCAAATAATTACAATGAAATACAAATAGTAAATTTTTTGATTTATGAAATAATGGAAAATTCAATTTGTATTTGTTTTTGAATAGTCCTAACCAATAACACCACCTTTTTTAGCTGATACTGATATCCAAACTGACATCAACAATATTAACTTGGTATCAGTCAATGCCACCAATATCAAAAATGTAGATTTATTTTAAATGAGCAAAATGTAATTCATTAATAAAATCATTTTTTACTTATCATTTATAAGTAAACTTAAAGAATAAAGATTAGAATCATCTTTTACCAGTTAACAAGCTTTTATAAGAATATGTTTTATTAATTCATATGGTAATGTAGAGTAGATAAAAAAAATTCAATTTATGAAAGTTAATTTTTTTGAGTATGTGCAATTGGTATAAGTTTAAATTGAAAGTACCAGCAAATATATATATATAATGGTTCATCTCTAAACAAGAAAGATATTGCTATGATTTGATTGACAATCAGAATTAATTTATTAAAAATTAATTGATTATAATAAAAAATATCAAAAAAGAAGATTATTTAAACATGTTATAAAATAAAGTTACCTTGATTTCTTCAGTAACTTTGAATTTTTCATGAAGATAATTCTCTGTCTCAACCATTAATAATGGTAATTTTGAAGGAGAATCATTGTCAATTAAAATGCTATCTAAAGGTTTCTCAATTATTGTTTTTTTAGATTTTAATTTTATATCATCAATATTATTTGTAATAATTTTTTTATTATTCCGCCAAGATCTACTGGGCTTCGCATTTACACTAGTCAACTTTGAAAGAATTTTGTCTTTACCTTGAAGTTTATTAACAGAATTTGCTGTAAAATATATTTTATATTTGAATATGGTGTTATAGAACTTTCAATAGGAATATCTTCTATATCTTTAATCATGTTTAATATTTTTACTCTAAATAAATGGTCTCTAAATAAAAATATCTAAAAATCTAAGTACCTTCGATGAGCCATAACAATCATCCTTAATTTATCACCCAAATCTTGCATTTCATGAATATGTACAAATGATCCCACATGATATAAATCATCTAAATTGTATAAAACCTCCATTTCATTGCTGTAATAATAATAATAATATATTGTCATAAAATAAGAATGTAAACTCATCATCCTTTTTCAGAAAAACTCCTGCATAAGGTTGATTTAGTTTTACTTTTTGTCTAATCAAATCAATTAATAATTTATTAGTAATCTATAGAATAATTTATAACTATTTCATATCATTTCATTTAACTTCTATAATTTTTATAAAACGAGGAAAAAGTGGATTGCGATTGACAGCAATAACAGGAATATGAGGATAATTTTCAGGAATGTGCATAGGAGCAAGTGCCATATTTTGTGTTGTATATAACTGAGGCTGTTCAGCTGGTAAATTTGAAGCAATGTCATCCATATCATCATCAGGGGGAGGCTTATCATCAGATTTTGATGAATAATTCCGAGAAATCTGATAATTTGATAATTTAAATTTTAGATTAACATTTTGTGAAGAGTATTTGGTCAATGGATAATGTATAAATTTTCTCTTAAATAAGAAACTTTCAGAAACTTTATTTATGGACCTTAATACCAGCATGATAAGAAATATTTTTTGAACCTAACTTTAAAATTAAAGAGTGAAATAATATATTTTTTTCTTTTCATATTTTAATTATTAATGCATGCATTATGAGTTCCCATAATTTCATTTGGCCAACTAAAATTTTTGACTTTAAACCTTATCCATGATGGGTATATAAGAGAAGAGAGACAGAGAAGAGAAGAGAAGAGAAGAGAGATGAGAAGAGAAGAGAAGAGAATCTGCCTTCTAACCAGGCCTTTATTTGTGGGGGAGGAGGGGTCAGTCATCATGAGTGAAACATTATAGGCAAGGAACTGTAATGCGCAATCGATTGTTAGTATGATATTCACTAAAGATTTATGATATTAATATGTGATATTTAAATAAAATATTAATTCTCTAAACTTTTATTCGCGTCAAGCTAAAGAGACGAAGGAAATTAAATTATGCCTAACGAAGACATTAAGATAGCTCTAAAGAAAAGCGAAGTAGAATAAAATCTAGCCAAAATTTGATCAAAGATGAAATATTTTTAATAAAAATTTTCTACATGCCTCCCAAATTCTGTAAATTGAAGGTTAATATTCAGGACTATGTTTATAATTTGGAACTCATTTTTAAAGTAAAAAGTAGCTTTGACCCTAAATTAAGTAAAAATCTGATTTTAGCATATACTGGATAAAAATTTAACAAGCATTATGAACTATCGAATTATCACTACCCGAATAAGTGATACATCAATTACATAAAGTTACTTAATAGTATAGAGAAAATTTTATTGGATATATTAAATATTTTCCTACATAGGTATAATTTTTAAAATAGAAAAGAGAAACGATTATTGATTTTTCGATTAAATTAAAAATTTTATTCCCTTTGTAATTTTAAACCGCCAGTTGATAAACTTTTAGGAGATTTCATCTTAGGAGTATGTTACCTGAGTTGGACAAAGAGCTTCAAGGAAGTGAACAAATTAATATAACTTAAGTCAACACAATATTCTAGTGACGTTTATTTTAAGAATAATAGTTATAATGGTAACAAATTTAATAGTAATAATAATTTAAATAGTAACAAATTAAATAATAATAATTATATTCTAAAATATATATAAAAAAACGTCATTAATTTTCTTGCGACAAAGCTAACCATATTGAAAAAGATTGCCGCATGCTATGCATATGATTCTACCGCGGACACCTGGCCTCTTTTTTTTATAACAAAACTACAATCTTGGTGAAGATATGTAGGTTGCTGATGACAATGGAATTCAATAAAGGCGCTGCTTGCAGTGTAATAGACAATTACCTGGACTCGTATTGCCATATCATTACTTTCGCCTGCATATAAACATCTGGGCTATGGCAATACTAAAATTGAAGTAGTAAATATACCGCAATGATATACGGCATATTATATACCATTGATGTATCGTTAAAGTCGAAATATAATATATTTATAAATTTTTACCGATTTTAAAAGGGAGAATTCTCTTAAATTTGGAATGTATTTCCTTAGAGAATTTGATATAAAACTTCAAAAAAAAATTCAGATGCTCAATCCCGATTGTTGGTAGAGAAAACAAAAACAGATGTGCTTACAAAAAAAAATTCGAAGACGAAATCAAATATTTAAAAATTAATCTAATAGGACCTATCTTTCACTCGGACGAGTATAATTATATTAATTTGAAAGAAGTTATTAAATTAATATAAAATTGGTATATTGACAATATTAATAATTATTCAAAGATTATAAATATTTTTTATTATGATTATAAATAATTGTTCCCAAGTAAGTCTTATAATATTATAAAGATGGAATTATTATACCCTATCAGCTAAAAAAGGAAGTCTTGTAATTTTATAAAAATGGACTATAAACTAAAGAAGGATCTTTTGACAGACATTCGTCAATGATATCCTGGTATTATGGAAATGAAGTCATCATACAAATATTACGTTTTTGGGGCAGATCTTGATGGTAGACGTTGAAGATTTTGCTAAATGATGTAAGAGTTGCCAGATAAGCCGGGAGCGTAAAGTGCCTTTATAGAATTGGAACATTCTTACCCGACCTTGAAGGAATCCACATTATTAACAGTCTCTGTCTTTGGAAAATATTGGTTAATTTGTATAGACTCTTTTATTAAATGGGTTGAAGTTACAATTTTAACATATATTAGTTCAGCGAGTGTAATTAATAAACTGCGAAATTATTTTGCTAGATTTGGGTTACCTCGCTGTTTCATAACGGTATTCAGTTTGCCGAATCTGAATTTCGAATAAACAGTAAAACATTTTAGCTCAGCCCCTTATAGCCCCAAATCTAAAGGGTTGGCTGAGTGCTACATCCGCACCATATAGAAGCGTTTCTGTGGCTATAGGCCAGCTAAATCCAGCGATGTTTAAATTATTGACCGATATCCATGTACAACAACTGGTATATAGCCTGTAAAAATGATGTTTGGTAGTCTGCTCAAGACGATGTTGGATCAGAGGAGATTATCCTTGAGATAAAGGACCTAAAATGCATTATGGAAACAAACAAAAATGTTATAAAAACAGGACTTTGAGCCCCTGAATTTGGAAATAAACAAAAGGCTTGAATAGAAAACAAAAACACTGCTGAATAACATGAAGAGATGGTGGTTCAACGTAAAAGTGTCATATTGTATGATGTTTAGTTGATGGCTTAATAAAAAACAAGCATGTCAACCAACTGAGATATGCACGTCACTGTAAGCAAAAGAAATATCAATAGCAGTGATGAAAGAGTAAGACAAGGTAGAGAAAATATGACCATAACAAAAAGAGTTTCGAAACCCTATTATGTTACCATGTCAAATTCAATTTGTAGTGGGGAAAACTGTAATGGATAATCAATTAATTGCGCTTTAGATTACATAATTATATATCTATTAATGTAATCGACGATTATTCGTTATTTTAAATATTAATTGAATGGTTATTATTTTAATAATTCAAAATTTTATAATATTTAAAATATTCGTTCTCTAACCTTTACACGCCCAGATTTACCCTCCTACCCTGAAATTAATTTTACTAAATATTTTCTAAGAGACCCCCACCCCCTGAAAGATATATAATGGTAGGTTCCCTTTATTTCCTCCTAATGCCGTTTAGAATATTTCAAATTCTACACAATATTTTAAGAAGGGGATGCTTGCCTCGTAGAGTCCAATTCTTGATTTCTCGGAGTTAGGGACATAGAGTAAATTACCTCCTAACCAAAAATATTCAATCTATTCCCTCAAAAATAACAAAAAAATTAAAGACATGCAGAGGTCAAAATTTTAGGCTGGGACCGGATTTGAAAAATAATTAATTTTCTACTCAGTCTGAATATTTTTGGAAATTATTGGCCTGGTGTGGATTTTTATTTTTAATAATTTTTCAGCCCAGTTCGTATTTTATAATTTTATTATTTTAAATAATTTTCACTGTATTTTGAAATTGTTAATGGAAATTGCAAATATGAGCAGAAATAATAATAATTCAATATATGATTTTCCAGCATTTTCTTATTAATTGATATAATTTAAATTTATTCAGCCCGAATTATTAAATTTTTAAATTAAGCTCAGCCTGGATATTATTTTAATATTAAGGCCAGGCACGGATTTTTAAAGGTATACCATTTTGTGGCCCGTTCCGGGATAGACTGCTCGTCTGGGAAAAGATCAGTGTAAGATATCAGCCGATATCTTTATTTAATGATTATATAGTAAAATCCTAAATTGATAAATTTGCGAATTTATGTTTACGTTATTATTTTTTGTATTTTTAACTTTTTCCTGTAGCATTTTGGAAATTATAATATTATACCTATTGTTCATATGTAAAATTTAAGTAATTCAACAATCATTTATAACTAAGTGATCAATGCTTAGGATATAATTAAAAATATATAATATGCATGTCACATTCAGCTATAAACATTATCCATCTTTGAATGAGATAATTAACAAATTACACTTAATCAGCGATAATGCACCGAATATTGTATTGGCTATGAGAAACGGAATAATTCAAATTTTTTTTTGTTCTGCCAATAGTTGAGAGTTGTTTATTTTTTTGCATGAAATATATTGATTTTTTTTATGACATATTGGTTCAAAAATAAATGGTGACCCCCATTGGAAAAATCCTGGCTACGCCATTGCCAGTAGCATTTACTACTACTTTATAGTTATTGTATCAATTATTTTCTAATCTAAAAATTAATTTTTAAATCATAATTAACTCGTTGGCCGTCATTAGTATTTAAATGATATATAAAAAGAAAAGTATATTTTTGTAAAAACATAAATTATTTCTATTCCCTAAAAAATAATATTAAAATCAATAATTATTATAATCGTTATTAGGTTTTAACATCAAATCTAAAGGTATATAAAAAGAATTTATTTTAAATGTTATAAAAATTAAATGAAATTATAATAATATTCGTATAATATATTATTAATAATAATTATCAGTAATTTTATGCTAAAAAGAACCGAATTTATGTTTGAAAAATTTTATCATAATAAAATACACCAAAATAATAGAAGAAAAGAAGAATGCAATTAAATCTATACATGCTTTTAGCAAATTTTTTTATTTTATTATCATAATATTTAATTATTTTAAATATATGCTTAATAAATTTATATCAATAAAAGTGTATGAAAATGATAATTTTTTCATAGAGTATATTCCAGATTTTTTTTGTATTATGATATTCTATAAGAAAGGTTTTATTGAATTGGTCTTAGTTAACTAGAATTAAATAGAAAGTTAGTTATGCATCTTATTTACTTAGAGTCTATTGTCATTATTCATTAATATATGAAATCAGAATAGTCGTTGCTGTTTTCTTGCAAAGCGTAAATAGAATTTAGCACGTATTAGTCCTGAAAACGATCCTTCTGCAGAACAAGCACATATGAGAATTATTAATAGCCTTTTAATAAATTTTACATATTCTGAAAAAATTTAAATTTTTTGTTTCTT